TGTTGTAATTGTTAGTGTTGTTACGACGCAGCAGCATCGCCAATCGTGGAGTTACCAGGGTGGTCTTGAAGCGCCTGTGGAAGTGAGGATCTTCATCCTCCTTCCAGCCCAGTGGTACGTAGTGCTGATTTTTGTGAGGTGGGCTTTCTCGCAGCATGATTGGAGTTTCCAGTCCTGCTCGTCTTCGTCGTGCATGTAGTAGTGATCCTCGGTGAAGGGATTATTCCATCCCTCTTCTGGTTCCAGAAGTCTTCCTTGGACTTCGTTCTCCTCGTCAGTTTCAGTGGTGCGCCGGTGTCGTGTCGCCATGTTTGTGATGACATTCCTGGGAGCTCCTGACTGTGGTCCTTGATTTTGCTGGTGTTGCGCAGGAGGACGAGCTTGCTGATGCTGAGGTTGAGGATGACGAGCGTCTTGTCGTCCGACCCAGTTGTTGTGGTGAGTGGAATTTGGGTGGCGGTAGTTGGATCGGGATTTATATCTATCCGTTGAGTGTCCGAAGACTTTGCATATTTTGCAGTAATGGCGCCTTGGTTGTCGTCGCTCTTCTCGGTTGTCCGTGTAGAAGGAGAGGCGCTCTCGGCGCGGCGCGGAGCTTGTTCTGCTCGAGTCCATATCCTGTTGTTTGGATAGGAGAGCGGCGCATAGCGCGGCTTCTGAAATTGTTCCTCGCTGTCGAAGTAACGCCTTGCAGGGCTTCCACTCAGGCCCGACTCCTTGAAGGACTATATTGACAAAAATCTCTTCTGAGATCGTACTCCCATGCTTCGTGATCTGGTCACGGATGTTGCGACAGCGGTTAATATATGGATTTGCCTTCTCCCCGTGCCCCATCTTTATCTCCAGGAGTTGCTGGAGAAGCCTGCTGGCTGTGACCGAATCCTTCGGCTGGTAAACTTCAACGAGGTGCTTCCAAGCTTCCATTGCTGGAGCGTCGCTCTCTTTGTAGGAGCGTATGTTGAGTTGTTCTGCAGGCGTTATGTTGCGTAGCAGCACACTGTAAGCCATGAGGGACTCACTGCAGTACTGAGCCCTAGCGACGTCGGTGTTTTCCACCGGTTTAGGGTAGGAGCCGTCGAAGTAATGGTAGATCTGCGCTGTTTGTAGGAGGAGCTCCAACTCAAAGCTCCATGTGTAAAAATCCTTGCCGTCAAACGCGGCAGTAGTCTTAATATTTGAAACGCTGGGGAAGCGTGTTTGCGCAGAGTTGATACCGCCAGCCCCCGGATAGAAGCGCCCCTCTGCTTATAATAAAACACTGTTTTTTAGGGGGTGCGCTTATAATTGAGAAATTTTATAAGCGCCGACAACTATAAAATGTCAAAATTGAAATGGTTTTTTTTTACATGTATTTGAAGCCTTTTCAAATGGGGATTGAATCCACATCTAGAACGTTCGAGTTTGTGCATGTAACGCGCGTCAAATTGCCAACAAGGCGCGGAATCACGCCCGCCACGCCTTGCTCGCCTGGCTAGATTCATCACACTGAATCTGGCCCATGCCAACGCACACGCAGTTTAGTGTGCGACCGCCCAATCAGGGCCGACTGTCGTGCTAGCCACGACGCAGTAAAACCACAAACGGGACATATGCGGCAAGATTCTTTGCCAACAACGCTTGGACCTCACCACATCAGCTCCTCTGCAGGGAGATCTTGACTGTTTCTCCCCTTAGTCTGCAGAGGAACCTGGGCCGCGAAAGTTTGAGGGGTCTCGGGCAAGGGTTTCAAACATGCTTCATTCTCCCTGTTTTTTTCAGATTTCTTGTTTCCCATCGGCCTGCCTTAGCTATGGCGGGCCGACCAGGCACCCATTTCCTCTTTAAGTGCCGAGGTGCTGCTGACAAAGCTCCCGATTACTCCCAGTGGCAGAGTCGTCCAGCGCCAATACCTCCTGCTCCTCCTGCGCCTCTTGCTCCTCCTACGCCTCCTGCACCTCCAGCGCCTCCTGCTCCTCCCGCTCCGCCTATCGTCGTCATCAACGGTGTGTCCATTCTACAGCTTCTCCCTCGCGGCTACTCTGCTTTCGATGCATACATCTCCGAGCCCGAGCACGAGCCCGAGCGCAGCGATGAAGATGAAACCGGTCCCGGTCTTTCGCCACGTTGGGGAGATCCGGAAGACTGCCCGCACGACGAATCCGCCACCGGTGCCGAAGACGATGTTGAGTGGTGGGCGGCCGACGGTCTTCCCGAGGACTTGCCTGTCCCAAGTTTTCCCCCGCCCAATAAAAAAAGGCCCCACCCCTGCACCCAGAATCGTGATTCCCGCCCCCCGTCTCCCAGGAGTAGGCGCTCAAGGCACAAGCGGCACTCCTATACTTCTCAGGAGAAGCTGCACTGGATTTCACAATTGGAGTCCGGTGCCGTAAGTATGCGGAAGATGGCACGCGACTCTGGTATCTCCCGAAAGTCCCTGGCAGTATGGAAATCGCGGAAGGGTGAGCTGGAGGGCGCGCATGGGGCTCGCAAGCGTCTTCACGGGCGTGGTCGGTCGTCGTGGTATCGCGACATGGAGATCCAGGTCTACTCACAAGTACTTGCCGCCTGAAAAAAGTGCCTCGCAGTGTCGGTCGGCCGCCTGCAGCAGTGGTCGCGAGAGGTGATGAAGAGCCTGCATCCTGAGGTAAAGTGGGCGGGATCTCAGAGGTGGACCGAGCGTTTTCGGCGCCGCTGGAATCTCACTACCCGAGCGAAGACCTGTGTCGGCCAAAAACTATCCTCCGGTGAGTGGGCGTGTTGTATTCACTCTTGTTTATCCCCTTTGCCAAACGGTCGATGTGTTAATGTTTTTTTATGGTTTCTGCCTCCCCGTCCCTTCCAGAGTGCGAGACGCAAGTGCGAAACTTCTGGAAGTTCGTACGACACACCCGCCGACAGTATGGAATCGACAACCGCTGGATCATAAATGCGGATCAGACCTCGCTCTGGCTCAAAATGCCAGCTGAACGCACTGTCGAGGAGGTGGGGATCCGCTCCGTGCCCATCCGCAGCGGCGGCTATCAAAAGGAACGCGTAAAGGTGATGCTCGCCTGCACCGCCAGCGGCGAGAAGCTCAAACACTGGGTGTTCTTTAAGCGCAAGACAGTTCCAAAGGGGAATTTCCCCTCCGGTAAGGCGAGCAGCTTGTGCAATCCCGGTAGGATTTGCATGTGTTGTTTTTTTTTTCTGATGTCAATCTCAAAGTTGTGCGGATGTGCAGATGTCGTGGTCGCCGCACATCCCAACGGTTGGATGGACGCGGAAGGCGTCCTCGCATGGCTCGACGGTACGGTGGGCCCGTACGTCAACCCGAGGTTTGGAGTGCGAAGCAGGAGGGCGATGTTGGTGCTTGACTCCTACCGCGGGCACCTGACTGATCAAGTGAGGGCGAAATTCGGCGAGCTGCGTATCGTGCCGGCCGTCATACCAGCTGGCTGCACATCGGAGGTGCAGCCGTTGGACGTCGCGGTGAACCGCTCCTTCAAAGCAGCTGTGCGACAACAGTACCAGCAATGGTTCGAGAGCGAGGGTGTTGACTGCCTGACTGAAAGAGGTGAGATTTAAGATTTAGGACTATTTTTCAACTATTGACCCTGTTCTAACTGATGAATCTTTCAACGTGTGGCATGCAACATCCGCAAGCCACCACCTGAGCTGACGCTCAAGTGGATCTCCAAGGCCTGGAAGGCGGTGCCCAAGGAGTTGATTGAGCGCTCGTTTCTGACCTGCGGCATCAGTAACGCCTTGGACGGGTCTCAGGACGGTCTCTGCCTGCAGCACCGGCGGGATGCCGTCAAAGGCGAAGTGGATCTTGACGACGAGATTGCAGCAGATGGATTCTGCTGCAACAACGTAGACGAGCCAGAGTCGGACGGTGAGACCGCCGACGAAGGCACTGCCACTGCTGAGGAGGATGCCTAGGTTGTGGGTAAAGTAGAAATGTGTAGGACGTGAAAATGTGGTAGAAAATGTAGAAAATGCGAATATGTAGTTAGATATTCAGAGAAAACGTAGGATACTAATTGTAACAGCGTAAAACTAAAAAATGTAGTATTTAAATGGTGGCGCTTATAATGTCTAAGGTAGTAGGGGTGCGCTTATAATCCGTAAGGCTCGAAGCATGCGCTTATAATCGAGGAGCGGATATAAGCGCCCTCATCCTTTTATAAGCGCCGGCGCTTATCCGAGGCCTGCGCTTCTATCCAGGGGCTTACGGTAGCCTCATCACTTGGACGGGGGGCAGTTGTTGCTGATTTGTCTGTGTCGAGGTAGAAGGTGTACGCGGCGGTATCACGGCTTTTCTCAGTCGGTTGTCCAGGTTGTGCTGGTTGGGAAGAGATTCCCGCATCGCCTTTGCGCACTTCTTGGAGTTCTTTCTCCATAGTTGAAAGTCGAGCGAAAAGTTGCTCGAGGGCGGCAGTGCCGATTGTGGTTGTCGCCTCACTTGTCGCAGCTAGATTGGGTTGTCCTTCAGCCGTCAGATTTGCTTGGTCTCCGGATCCTCCGGCCATCTTGGTCTTGGAGCGTGTGCCGCTCGCCAGGTCTTGATTCGGCGAATTTCACGGAAGTGAAGTTGCGAAGAATCCTTGAGTAGCTCTCATACCATGTTACAATCCCAAGTGGGACTTAACGAAGGATCGCTCAGGGTTGATCGCGGAGTAGTGTTGCAGCAGAAATTTGAATGTCAGGTCAGAGTGAATGTAAATGACTGAGTTTATAATAGCGTGCATACATCGAGTTTATATAAGAGTACAAGGGAATAGGAAAGGACCTAGACTTGCCATGTACTCTAAGGGGTACATTCCCTTATTACAACTGAATTCAAAAACCGTGCGGCGGGGGAACCCGTTCAAAAACTGTTCCCGCTCTTTTCACTTTAAATGTTTCTGCCTGCATCGGTCTTGATCTGACGGTTGGTGCGTCGCTTCGGCTCTTCTGACTCCTCAACTTCGTACTCGGTAGAGTCGGCTCCTGCAGCATACAGGAATGCCTTCTCATAAAACTTCGCATCGTAGCACAAGCTAATGCATGTTCGTGGCCCATGCTACCACCCCTAGCGCTCCTCCAATAATGATGGCAAGTGGAGCAGGAATCTGAAATCACAAATCCAAGCACAAACACATGGCAGGTAACAGGTGTGATGAAATCAACAAGGGATACAGGTAAATGGCAATTGCCATGGCATCATCGCGACATTACAAAAGGAGCTGCCACTCACAAAATTGGAGTCCTCCTGTTTGCATGTGCATTCTTTTACACATGATTCACTGTTACAATGGGCTAAGAAGAGTAACTGTAACGCGACAAATTTGGCCGCAGCATATCCAATCATGGCGATGCAGAGTGGTCTAGTGTGAGACGTCTCAGAACTAACTGTAACACATGAACACACCTTGAGGAAATTGGTAGAAGCGTATCCAATCATGGCAATGCAGAGCGATGCCATGGGGAAGGGACTGACTTTGTACACCTTGAGGCCCAGGGAAAACACTGATGCCCAAATGAGACCGATCTGAGAAGTGTTGGGAGGAGGGTGTGTGGCGAAGTGGAAGGGGAAGGAAAAGGTGGGAGAAGGGAAGGAAGGGGTGGGAGGAGGGATGGGACAGGTCGGCTAGGAAAATGAGCTGACTTTATGCGTCTCAAGACGGAGCTTGAGGCGTGCTGATGCATGCTATCAATGGTGCATGCCAGCAGGCACTGCAGGGCATGAGGCACTGCAGGGCATGAGGCACTGCAGGGCATGAGATGATGCACATGACAAGGTAACCCATAAGGTGACCAAGGATCGGGTCATGCTTGAACCTCCAAGAACACACAGACGCTCCGATGAGCTGATTGCAACGTGGTTACTGGACTTGATGAGATACTACTAACAGGTTTCGAGACGTCTCGAACTTGGAGATTTCTCAACACTTGATTGCAAGTTTAGGGTCTAGGGTCTTGTAAGGTTTCTTTCAGGTGGAAGCAGAACCATGCAATACAAACAGGAAAAACAATGCATACAGTACAAATAAGAATACTTACTGCAGTTGAGTTGAAGCCCGGTGTAGCACGCTTGTACCTGTGGTGGTCGAAAGGAAAATCGGTTACAAAGACAGTAGAGAAGCATTGCGGTTCAACTGCTTCATATAAAATGGACTAGCAGGCACGACACACACACACACACACACACACACACACACACACACACACACACACACACACACACAGCGCACGCACGCATGCACGCACGCACGCATGCACGCACACAAACGCACGCACACACACACACACACACACACACACACACACACACACACACACACACACACACACACACACACACAGACTCCTCCTACAGCTTCCACTGGCGGAATTTTCCCCAGAAGGGCAGCACGCCATAGATGACGAGGATGGGAGACCTCGATAATGGAAAGCATCAAAGCTGGAAAGAATTAACAATGGGAAACATCCATTGCCTCTTCTTACAGCTTCCACTGGCGGAACTTGCCCCAGAAGGGCAGCACGCCATAGATGATGAGTATGCCGGGCGAGAAGAGGCCGAACCAACACGCTATCACCCCGCCCATCCCCCCCACCTGTGTGGTGCGTGTGCATAGAGGTGGTGATTTTGTGCATAGAGAAAAGAGGGGAAAGGTTAACATCAGAAGGGCACGACCCAGTAAATGATGAGGATGCTGGGAGAGAAGAGGCCGAACCAGCACGCTATCACACCACCCATCCCCCCCACCTGTGCGGTGCGAGTGCAGCAGCATGGGTAGGGGCATGGGCAGGGGTATGAGCAAGGGAATGGGGATGGGTATGGGGATGGACATGTGCATGGGTATGATGGCACGGATATGGGCACCAGCATGGTTATGGGCATGGGCATGGGGCAATAGACTCACAATGGCACCGATGTAGGCGGAAAAGTTGAACAGCGGACCAGGCAGCGTCTGTGTCCGAGTGTTGAGCAACGCAGAGTGGCCACACAGCACGCACACCCACACGGCCTACATTCACACTCCCAATGCCTCAGCCATGCAATAGATGGACTCACAATGGCACCAATGTAGGCTGAGAAGTTGAACAGCGGACCAGGCAGGGCCTGTGCAAGAGCGAGTCCGGCGAGAAACTGCTGGGAAGTTACCCATGATGTGTTGGCCTCCACTTCATAGCACTGCGGTGTGTAAAACGCGCATCACATGCACATCACATGCACATCCATGTCACATCGTACCAGATGCAGGCATGCATTTCGGAGACAAATGAAAAAGATGTGCAGCAGCAAGACAGATGGCAGGCACGTTGATAACTGACCAGTCACACTAAATAGTCTCATAATCAATCACCAGGCTTCTGCTGGTTCAATCATAATCAATCACCAGGCTTCTGCTGGTTCAATCATAATCAATCACCAGGCTTCTGCTGGTTCGATCATAATCAATCACCAGGCTTCTGCTGGTTCAATCATAATCAATCACCAGGCTTCTGCTGGTTCAATCATAATCAATCACCAGGCTTCTGCTGGTTCAATCATAATCAATCACCAGGCTTCTGCTGGTTCAATCATAATCAATCACCAGGCTTCTGCTGGTTCAATCATAATCAATCACCAGGCTTCTGCTGGTTCAATCATAATCAATCACCAGGCTTCTGCTGGTTCAATCATAATCAATCACCAGGCTTCTGCTGGTTCAATCATAATCAATCACCAGGCTTCTGCTGGTTCAATCATAATCAATCACCAGGCTTTGAACCCTCCCACACTTACCCACTAGACAGTCACCTCGAATCCCCTCTCTCACCTTGCCCCCATTGGGAGGGCACACAGTCAATCACAACGTCTCCAGCAGCGGCAGCAGAACCACCTGCCCTGGTGTTCCCCCCCTTATGCCTCCCCAATCCCCCTCCACCGCACTCAACCCCTCACCTTTCCTCCATTGGGGGGGCACCCTGTCTCATAGTCAAACACAACGTTCTCCAGCAGCGGCAGCACCACCTGCCGTGCTTCCCTCCCACTTATCCCTCTCCAATCGTCCCCCACCGCACTTAACCCCTCTCCCTCTCACCTTTCCTCCATTGGGAGGGCACACGGTCTCATAGTCAATTACAACGTTCTCCAGCAGCGGCAGCACCACCTGGCCTCCTCCATAAGTCACTGACCCCGTCAGGTAGAAACCCTGTGGTGAGAGGCAAGGGAGCGGCGAGAGAAGAAAGGATGGAAGAGCACACGGTCTCAGAGTCAATGACAACGTTCTCCAGCAGCGACAAGGAGGAATCTGGTGTAGCAGGAGGGTGAACACAAGAGTGGCAATCTAGACGCCCTTCGTTACAAGCACACTACATACAAACAAGCACACCCATCATCACACACGCACCTCGAACCAGTGGATCCACTTGGCGCTCTTGTACCTGGCTGGTGGCATTCTTGTAGACGATGGATCCGACCAGGATGGCGACCCACGCTGCAAGCATTCTACACACAAACGAACACACCACGTGCAAGCATTCTACACACAAAGGAACACACTCCCATTGTCGTCACACTCGCACCCTCTCACCTCGAACCAGTGGATCCACTTTGCAGACTCGTATAGCTGGTGGCGGTCTTGTAGACAATCGATACCACCAGGATGGCGATCCACGCAAACAGCAGCATGCCGCCCATCAGAGGGGACACCCCACCCCGCCCCACCCCGCCCCGCCCCGCCCCGCCCCGCCCCGCCCCGCCCCGCCCCGCCCCGCCCCGCCCCGCCCCGCCCCGCCCCGCCCCGCCCCGCCCCGCCCCGCCCCGCCCCGCCCCGCCCCGCCCCGCCCCGCCCCGCCCCGCCCCGCCCCGCCCCGCCCCGCCCCGCCCATGCCCAGCCCAGCCCAGCCCAGCCCAGCCCAGCCCAGCCCAGCCCAGCCCAGCCCAGCCCAGCCCAGCCCAGCCCAGCCCAGCCCAGCCTCTGAATTCCCCCATCACCACACTCGCTCTCACTCTCACCTCGAACCAGTGGATCCACTTTGCGCTCTCATAGCTCGTGGCGTTCTTGTAGACAATGGAACCGACCAGGATGGCGATCCACGCAAACAGCAGCATGCCGCCCACCAGAGGGGACACGCCCAGCCTCTGAATGTCGCTGCGCTGCGGCGGAATGGGCTTGTTGCGCTCCGTGAAATACGTGACCACGCCGCCTGGGAGAAGGAGAAGAGTATGAACAGAGAAGGGCAGAAGGAAGAAAGGGTGATGAGGGGAGGTGGGGGGAGAAGAAAGGGGTGAGAGCGGTGCAAGATCAGGAGAACAAGGGGAGGGGACCAACTGGGTGCGAGAGGGAGGGGTGGGGAGGGGGAGGGAGGGAAACAGCAGCATGCCGCCCACCAGGGGCAACACCCCCAGCCTCTGAATGTCGCTGCGCTGCGGCGGAATGGGCTCGTTGCGATCCGTGAAATACGTGACCACGCCACCTGGGAGAAGGAAAGGGGGGGGAACGGGGGGGGTAGAGAATGTGCTAATGTGTGATATAGGTGACCGCACCGCCTGGGAGAAGGAAAGGGGGGGGGGGGGGGGGGCGGGGAGGGGGGGTAGAGAATGTGCTTTTGCTCTGTGAAAAAGGTGACCGCACCGCGTGGGAAGGAGAAGAGGATGAAGACAAGGGGACAGAATGGGTTGTGAGGATGGACAGGTGATGACAGCTATATTGAAATCACTTTTGAGAATTCTCAAAAGGCCACACACAGCTTCTTCCCCTGCACCACTGCTGCCTTCACCCACCCACCACCACCAGTGATGTCCGTCCCTCCCCAGCATCATCACTCACCCACCCACCACCACCAGTGATGTCCGTCCCTCCCCAGCATCATCACTCACCAAGCATCATCACTCACCAAGCATCATCACTCACCAAGCATCATCACTCACCAAGCATCATCACTCACCAAGCAGGATGACGATGGGGAAGATCCACTGCGTGGCATAGTAGAATGCTATGATCCGCGCAGCCGAGGCCACACAGAGCACGCGAGTCACTTTGTTGCGACACATCTTTTTGCCCAACAACACTGCTGCCTCCGCTACTAGTACCATTGCCACCACCCCCCCTAAGTCCCCCCCCAGCGACACTTACCAAGCAGGATGACGGTGGGGAAGATCCACTGCGTGGCGTAGTAAAAGGTAATCACGGCAGAGGCCACACAGAGCACGCGAGTCACTTTGTTGCGACACATCTTCTTCCCCAAAATCACTGCTGCCTCCGCCACCAATGCCACTGCCACCGCCGCCAGGCCTGCTGAGAGCGCAGACAGCCACGGCGCTGGGTCGATAAGAAACTGGGAGAACAGAAAAGTTGGGGGTGAATGCAGGTACAGAGGGGTGCAGTTAGGTGCGGAGGGGCACTGGTGGAGAGAGCCCACATCTTCTTGCCCAGCACCACCGCTGCCTCTGCCACCAACGCCACTGCCACTGCCACTGCCACTGCCACTGCCACTGCCACTGCCACTGCCACTGCCACTGCCACTGCCACTGCCACTGCCACTGCCACTGCCACTGCCACTGCCACTGCCACTGCCACTGCCACTGCCACTGCCACTGCCACTGCCACTGCCTCTGCCACTGCCACTGCCACTGCCACTGCCACTGCCACTGCCACTGCCACTGCCACTGCCACTGCCACTGCCACTGCCTCTGCCACTGCCACTGCCACTGCCTCTGCCACTGCCACTGCCACTGCCACTGCCACTGCCACTGCCACTGCCTCTGCCACTGCCACTGCCACTGCCACTGCCACTGCCACTGCCACTGCCTCTGCCACTGCCACTGCCACTGCCACTGCCACTGCCTCTGCCACTGCCACTGCCACTGCCTCCGCCACCAACGCCACTGCCACTGCCACTGCCTCTGCCACTGCCACTGCCTCCGCCACCAACGCCACTGCCACTGCCACTGCTGTGGCAGTGCCAGTCCTGTTGAGAGAGCAGAGACCAGAGCAAAGCCAGCAATGGCCATGATGAGCGCCCCTGGGAACTGGAAGAGCGCGCCTGAGAGCAAGCAGCAGTAGCCCCGCAGGGTTTGAGGCACCTCACTCAAGCGCTCCTGGAAACTGGAACAATGCTCCCGAGAGTGAGAAACTGGAACAATGCTCCCAAGAGTGAGAAACTGGAACAATGCTCCCGAGAGTGAGAAACTGGAACAATGCTCCCGAGAGTGAGGAACTGGAACAATGCTCCCGAGAGTGAGGAACTGGAACAATGCTCCCGAGAGTGAGGAACTGGAACAATGCTCCCGAGAGTGAGAAACTGGAACAATGCTCCCGAGAGTGAGAAACTGGAAGAATGCTCCCGAGAGTGAGAAACTGGAACAATGCTCCCGAGAGTGAGGAACTGGAACAATGCTCCCGAGAGTGAGAAACTGGAACAATGCTCCCGAGAGTGAGGAACTGGAACAATGCTCCCGAGAGTGAGAAACTGGAACAATGCTCCCGAGAGTGAGGAACTGGAACAATGCTCCCGAGAGTGAGAAACTGGAACAATGCTCCCGAGAGTGAGAAACTGGAACAATGCTCCCGAGAATGAGGAACTGGAACAATGCTCCCGAGAGTGAGAAACTGGAACAATGCTCCCGAGAGTGAGGAACTGGAACAATGCTCCCGAGAGTGAGAAACTGGAACAATGCTCCCGAGAGCAGCCCGCCGGTGATGCCCTTGTGGAGAAAGAAGCCCTTGTGGAGAAAGAAGTGTGAACGTTTATGCGCTTCTGCACCTAGAGACTCGAGTGCATGCACTGCCATTCTGCCGCATCTCTCACCTTCGCGCCTGCCTGAGAGCAGCCCGCCCGTGATGCCCTTCTGAAGAACGAAGGGTGAGCGCTTATGCGCTCTGCACCTAGAAACTAGAGTGCAGGCATGCACTGCCACTCTGCCGTATGTCTCACCTTGGCGACGCCAAAGCCAGCGATGGCCATGATGAGAGCTCCTGGGAACTGGAACAATGCTCCCGAGAGCAGCCCACCAGTGATGCCCTTCTGGAGAATGCCGATGGAGAATGACATCTGCGTGCTGGATGGCCCCGGCACTGCCTGGGTGAGCGCTAATAGCTCTGCAAACACGTCTTCTGACATCCAGCTAAGTGTAGGGAGGGAGGACACAGGGAGAGCGGAGAAGAAAGAAACATGGCGAGGGAGTGGAGACGGGGAAGCAAGTGGTGCTTGCAGTGGTTGGACTGGTTGGGAGAGAGCAGCAGCCCGCCAGTGATGCCCCTCTGAAGGATGCCGATGGAGAATGACATCTGCGTGCTGCTGGATGGGCCCAGCACTGCCTGGGTGGGCGCTAGCAGCTCTGCAAATACATCCTCTGACATCCAGCTGGAGGGGAGGGGAGGGGAACATAGGGAGAGGGGAGAAGAAACGGGGCGAGGGGGGAAGGAGACGGGGAAGCAAGCGGTGTTTGGATTGGTTGCAGTGGTTGGGTTGGGTGGGCGAGCAGCAACCCATCCGCCAGTGATGCCCTTGTGCAGGATGCCCATGGAGAATGACATCTGCGACAAGGGACGTCATGACATCTGTATTCATCCTATCCCACCCTTCTCTCTCTAACTCCGAACCACCACTCCATCTACTCACCCTCTCAGCTCCACGAACTGTTTGTGGCACATGGCGATGTGGGCAGAAGGGCAAGGGGGCCTTCACACCACCCTCTATCAATCCAACCCATTTTACCCCAAACCAAACCAAACCAGCAGTTTTTGAGGCGCCTCAAAAACGACTATCAATCCAACCCATTTTACCCCAAACCAAACCAAACCAGCAAGTTTTTGAGGCGCCTCAAAAACGACTATCAATCCAACCCATTTTACCCCAAACCAAACCAAACCAGCAAGTTTTTGAGGCGCCTCAAAAACGACTATCAATCCAACCCATTTTACCCCAAACCAAACCAAACCAGCAAGTTTTTGAGGCGCCTCAAAATCAAAAACGACTATCAATCCAACCCATTTTACCCCAAACCAAACCAAGCCAGCAGGTTTTTGAGGCGCCTCAAAAACGACTATCAATCCAACCCATTTTACCCCAAACCAAACCAAACCAGCAAGCTTTTGAGGCGCCTCAAAAACGACTATCAATCCAACCCATTTTACCCCAAACCAAACCAAACCAGCAAGTTTTTGAGGCGCCTCAAAATCAAAAACGACTATCAATCCAACCCATTTTACCCCAAACCAGCAATCCAGACAACAAGCCCCCACCACTCGCTCACCCGCGCAGCTCCACGTACTGCTTGTCTTGTGGTACATGGCGATGTGAGCGGACGGGCAAAGCAACCCCTATCAAATTGATCCATTTTACCACAAACAGACAGCAAACTCCCCTCCCCCTACTCACCCGCGCAGCTCCACGAATTGCTTGTGGTACATGGCGATGTGGGCGGATGGGCCGCCGAACGCCGTCCACCCGAGCAGGAAGAACGCCTGGAAGACCGCCCAGTAGCTGCCACGTGGCACCTGGCCATTGGGAGGTCGATGAGACGATCCATGCAAGTAAAAGCAAGCGATAGGAGGCACCGGAACAGTAGACAAACCAGTTGTTCAACAAGACGGGGGCAGATAGGGCGAGGAGAAAAGAAGAGAGTGGAGGAGTCTGTTTTTTAAGAATTCTAAAAAAACAGACGAAGAGAAAAGAAGAGAGTGGGGAGGGAGAGTGGCGAGGAGGAAGGAGAAAAGAAGGATACTCTTTGGGAAACCAGAACTTAACCTGCTTCTGAGAATTCCCAAAACAAACTTCAGTTCAGGTGGTAAAATAGTGGAAGAGGAGGGCAGGGGGGAGAAGATAGTACAGCTGAGGGGAGCTGGAGAAGAGGGCGGGAGTGGGGGGGCGGGGGAGGGAAGGAGGTGGGGAGTGGAGAAAGAACGAAGCGGATAATTGAGGAGAGGCTTACCTGAGGAGAGGCTTACCAGGGGAGAGGTTTACCAGGGGAGGCCCGGAGGGTCTTACCAGGGGAGGGTCTTCGACGACGACTTGAGGCACAGCAGGCACGCCCGCTGCTGCAGCTGCTGGCACAAGCGCCCTGCAGGGCTTCTAGAAGTAGCGGACAAAGACAGAGAAGCGGCTTACCAAAGGTGGGTCTTCAACGACGACTTGAGGCACAGCAGGCACGCCTGCTGCTGCAGCTGGCACAAGCGCCGTGCTCGAACCCTCGTCGTCCCCATCCCCTCCCTCCCGGTTCTCCCCCTCGCCATCCGGGGCAGTGGCAGCACCAGCATCGCCAGCACCAGCAGCAGCGCCAGTACCAACAGTGGCGGCAGCAGTAGCGCCAGCAGCAGCGCCGGCAGCAGCGCCAGCAGCAGCAGCAGTGCCAGCAGCAGTGCCAGCAGCTGTGCCAGCAGCAGTGCCAGCAGTAGTGCCAGCAGCAGTGCCAGCAGCAGTGCCAGCAGCAGTGCCAGCAGCAGTGCCAGCAGCAGTGCCAGCAGCAGTGCCAGCAGCAGTGCCAGCAGCAGTGCCAGCAGCAGTGCCAGCAGCAGTGCCAGCAGCAGCAGTGGCTGAGGCAGCAGGGTCTTCGGGCGTGGTCTTGGCCTGCAAGGCAAAAGAATCAAAGGAGAACGAAAGAGAGGATACGGAAAGTGTGGAGCGAATCAAAACGACCAAGGATCATGGTGCAAAAGAAAAGGTTCCACGAGCTTCGATATGCGTCATCTCAGGTTTCAACGTGAAAGTGCGCGTAGCATTCTTGCAGCGCGGCAGTCCGACGCCCCTCCACTCCAATCCAACAGAGCGCGCTGTGCGCGTCACGACGCGTCAAGGACAAAAAACAACAAAAAAAAAAAACAAACAAAAAAGCAAGCCTCGAAGCAATCGCCTCCTTGCCCTCACCCCACCTTTCCGTGGAGGGTAAGGGAAAAACAGCCCTCCTGGTTAGCACCCGATGCCAGGGACATCTCAGAACTCGAAACATCTGCGCAGCAGCCCTTACCTTACCGACTCGGAGCAGCGCAGGGAACAGTCGCTCCGCCTTCCGCCGCCACGCAGCGAGCAGCCCAGGCTTCGCAGCAGCATTGTTACCATCACCGTCACTCTCATGCTCCTCCTTCGCAGCAACATCAGCAGCGGAGCCAGAATCTGCTTTCGCAGCGGCAATCCCATTCGTGCCGTTGCCATTAAGCATTTCCGGCCTCGCCTCCCCGTTCGCCCGTTCCTTCACTCCCTGCTCGTCCTTCTCCCCTTCCGCAGCAGCACCCGTCGTCTTCCCATCCTTCTCCTCCCGGTCGTTGTCGCCTTCCTCGCTGCTATGATCCGAGATGTCATGCAGACTAGGCACGCTCACTGCCGCCTTCTCCTGCGCCGCTTTCTCCGGAGCTGACGTGGCTCCCGCGGCTGACGTGGCGGGCGTGGCTGACGTGGACGACGCGACACCTGGCGCGGGTTGGCCGGCGGCACCACGCGTTGAATCCGTTGAACTTGCTGCACCGAGGGGTTCACCCTGTGGCTTCACGCAGCACACGTAACGGAAGCGGCAAAAACAAAAAAGCTCAGGGAACTTCAAAGAGCTCGTCAATATCCAGGGGAAACCAGCTCGGAGCCATTCACAAAAAGCAGGAGCTGGGCTATTGTGAATGCTTTTGAGTCGACTCAAAAACAAAAAGCTCAGGGAATTTCAAAGAGCTCGTCAATATCCAGGGGAAACCAGCTCGGAGCCATTCACAAAAAGCAGGAGCTGGGCTACTGTGAATGCTTTTGAGTCGACTCAAAAACAAAAAGCTCAGGGAACTTCAAAGAGCTCGTCTATATCAAGGGGAAACCAGCTCGGAGCCATTTAAAAAAAGCAGGAGCTCGGCTATTGTGGGATCAGAGAGCAGTGAACTAGCGCGCCTTAACTGCGGCTTTCCCGAATCGCGTAGACATCTGCGCGTACACTCCTTCACATAGTACTATTAAAGGCTCTCGGACAATGCAACACTACCAAGGCCATACTGCCTCGAGGGGATCTCGGACGACGATTCTATGATATAAGAGACGACAAGCCGCCGACAGTACCAAATAAGAGACGAAGAGCCGCGGACGGTACTATATGAGGCTCTCGCTTCAAAACCAAGCAGCTCGTCGTCTATTATATGGGCGGAGCATTCTCTACTACTCATGCTCAGACCAAGGCTTCTCAAGCATGATGTTCTCACCTCAGAAGCCGGCAATCCGGCCATGATAATGAGTGGCTCCGCTAGATGGTCGCCGTCTAAAGCGGAGATATTATGAAGAATGGAGCCTTTACTCCTGGGCGGGGCGGGTATGGGTCAGAACTTATGTATCCTCAAACACAGGAGTATTTATTTGAGTTCGCAAGCGGATATCGCGCAGATACGGTAGCGACTAGCTGCTTCCTTAGCTAAGGCTATGCTGTAGGTATCTCTCGGCAGAACAGCGAGAAGAGAAGAGAACCTGCTCCGAATAGGTGCGTGACTATTTAGGACTACAATGTTTTCCCGTGTGCCTCCCACGGGCTCGTTGGATGGAACGTCGCGGTCTCAGACAAATATTTGTCGAATATTCATTGCACATGCACTGAACCAAGACGACACTAGCGACACAACCGACGAGGCGCAAGCACCCGCGCCACGTCGCCCGTTGTTGTCCCACGCGCAAATGCTGCTGCTTCAGCCGCAACTGTGCTTGCTGCAGAATGAGCAAGAGGCTGGAGGCGAAAGAATGATATGATTCAGCTGCCATCATGCTTGCTCTGCGGAGGAAATGAAAGAATGAGCTTGTGCAACAGTGGGGAGAGGAGACATGGTGCTTGGTGTGGTAACCCTGTCTGGGAAGAGCTAGCCCTGGCTAGTGCTGCTGTGCAAAAAATATCGGGAAACGGCTAAAACCCTTACAGAACGTTCTGTGACGTAACAACTCTATCTGAACCGTACTAAACGGTCTGACACACCGTGACAGCGGGGATTTGGAAGGCAGGGGGGTTTCTGCTGGTGCTTCTTGAATTTGATCCAGCGAATGGATCGAGCGAACAAGAGACACGATGACAGGACGAGGCAGGACAGGTCACATCACAGTTAACGAGTCGCACACGAGAATGAGTAACAAGATGCGATGAATCGAGACAGCGGAAATGACAAGGGCGATTCGGTATATCAGCGCTATGTTGAATCTCGTTTTAGCACTAGATGGTATGGTGAACTCAATAATTCGAATCTGCTGTGCTCGGCACACACTAATTGACTTAGGCACATCAATACTGACTTGCATTTACATAATGTACACCATACATACAGTACACGGTTCTGCATTACGTATAGTGACCGGACAGCCATAACCAGTTGGAGGTGTAAACAAAGCAAATCATGTCAAATTGCAGCAGACTTCTCCACACACTTCCGGGTGTCAGTTTGGTAGCCGTAGGCCAAGAGGAGCAGCACTGGGTGAGCGATGATGCGCATTCGACAGGAACCGTCGGATAGACCGAAGACATGCCACCGGCTTCCTCCACAAACGAATATGCCTTTCCTCCCGCTCCTGCTGCTGCTGCTCGTTCTGTCGTGACCGGTGATGCAATTGCTGCTGCTGCTGCCGGCAGTGAAATGAAGAAAAGAAAGTCAGAAAACCAGACCGCGTTCTCATGGGATCCAGATCTTCACTCCTCTCCACCGCACTCCTGCCCCTTCCCCTGCCCCACTCCCTGCCCACCCCCTGAATCTCAATCCGCACGCAGCTCTTGGGCAGCTGCGGAAAGCATCCGGGAAGCTGCCGCCGGAAAAACCTGCCCGGAGAAGCCGAGGGAGAAGGGGAAGGAGTGCGAAGGCTGGGAAGGCCGATGAGGGAGAGAGAGGTTAGGGAAGTGAGGTGATCTAATCTGGGTGGGAGAGAGGTGAGTTTGCAGCACCAGGCGATTTTGAGTGAAGCGAGGGTTGAGAGGAGGGAGAGGGATGCGGGCAGTGAGACAAGCGACCTGCAGCTGCGAATTTCGAGGTATGATAGCTCGGGCAGCTGCCCGAGGTTTTCGGGCAGTGAGTTGAGGACCGGGCAGGAGAGGAGGTAGAGGGAGTGGAGGGAGAGGAGGGAGTGAAGGTCGGAGGGGAGAGAGGAGAGCGACTTGCAATTTGCAATGTGGAGGTGGTTTAAGGATATGCACTGGGAGAGAGATGGAACAGTGGTGATTCTTGGGCACCCCTGAATCTCAAAGGACTGAAGATGTGACAACTGCCCGACGGACTCGGGCAGCTCGACGAGTTTGCAGAGACACGCAAGCCTTAGGAGCTTGAGAGCTGTCAGCTGCCCGAAATCTCTGGGCAGGGATGTCAAATTTCCGCATGATGACAGGTCCAAGGAATGGAGGGAGGAGAGGTTGGGGAATGAGTCGGGTAGCTGGGATAACGCCGAGCCGTTTCGAATCTCCAGGTGTTGGAGTGAAGTGAGCTGCCCGAAATCTTCGGGCAGGGATGTGAGAGAATTACACTGGTGTATGTAGAGGGTTTGGAGGGAGGGAGACAGGAAGGGCAGAGAGGGTGGTAGATGCTGGAGGCTCCAACAGGAGGCGAGGGTAATATGTTGAAGCGAGGGTAAATAACCCAACCAGGGAGGGAGTGAGGTGCGTGTACTGCTGAGCTTGAGGTATTTCAGTAGAGTTAAGGGCTTGCTGATAGGGTCGTCTGTGTTGTAATCTGCATCGCTGCTGCTGCTGCTGCCACCACCACCACTGCTGCTACTGCCGCTGATGCTTCTGCTGCTGTTGCCACTGCTGCTCCCACTCCCATTGCCTCTGCCGCTGCTGCTGCTGCCACCATCACCACTGCTGCTGCTGCCGCTGTCACTGCCGCTCCCACTCCCACTACCTCTGGTGCTGTCGCTGCTGCTAATTTCACCACTACCAATTCCACTGCCGCCACTTCCACCGCTACTGCCGCTGCCGATGCCACTGCTACTAACACTGCTGCTGCTGCTGCTGCTGCTGCTGCTGCCACTAACATCCCCACGGCTGGTGGTGGTTCTTCCACCCTGGCCGCCCCTCCTAGCAGCCTCTGGGTTCTGCGGCAGCCCAGCAAACATATGTCCGTGATCAAACTCCACATCCAGTGACTCGATACAAGACAGGCGCAACAACGAGGACGGCAGCGACGCGATCCTGTCACACCCCGATACAGTCACCTCCCGTAGAGTCACCATTTGCTGGAAGCAGTCCGGGAGAGGCGCGAGGCGGGGGCATTCGGAGACTCTGAGTCGCTGTAACGAGCGGAGCCCGCTGATAGACTCGGGCAGCAGCTGCAGCAGCTGCTTGCATGTGAATAAAACGAGGGACGTCAGTCTGCCCAGGTTTCCCAGGCTGGTGGGTAGAGATTCGAGCCCACAGGACTGTATCAAGAGGTGCTTTAATGAGGTAAGTTCGCCTAGGCTCTCCGGAAGGGAGACTAACTCCGAAGCGCCACGTATGATAAAGCTCTCGAGAACAGGTAGGTTGGAGAACAGCGCGTCGGGAAGGCTGCGAAAGTCGCGTTCCGCGTTGATCTCTAAAATGCTGAGCTGGCGCAGGGTGCTGAGCGCTTCGGGGAGGCTAGAGACGTTGCTGACGAGGAGCTGACGTAAGCAGGTTAAGCGGGGAAGCGTGGGGGAGAGGTAACTGAGGTGATCAGGGCCTGACACGTGGAGGACATCTAAGGCGGGCGGAGAATTGCTGTAATGCGGAAGCATGGAGGGCGGAAGGATAGTGGAACGCGGAAGAAGCGCATCAGAACTTCCGCACGAACGACTCCCCTCCGCATAACTGGCGCGCGGAGTGGAATATGCTACTGCAGCGGCATCCATAACGGCGGAAGCGGCGGTATCGGCGCAGGTGCGCGAGGCGGAATTGATCAGGCGGAGATGGGTGAGCGCACGGCAGCGAGAGAGCGCATACAATAGGTCTGCGGAAATTATTGGCAGCGCGGGGGTCTCCGCAGAGGACAGCTCGGCGCTCTGCTCTTCCGCCATGCGGAGTGAAGGCTGTTCCGCCACGCGCAGGGACCGGATCTGCGGGCAAGCAGCGGCTAATCCGCGGAACAGTGAGTCGGCGGAGTCAACGCAGTCGATGCAGTCAACGGAGTCAACGCAGTCATCGGAGTCAACGGCGTCGATGCAGTCAACGGAGTCAACGACGGCGCCCCGCGGAAGGTCCAGAAACGTGAGGTACGGCAGGCGGGAAACCGCGCGGAGGATCTGCGCGGAAGACAAGGCGCGCGGAGCGGAGAAAGCGGGAGAGAGCTTGCGCCAACGCTTGCAGACCAGCGCCGGAGGAGAAGGAGAATATGCGGCGGGATGGGAAGGAGATGCGGTAGTGGGGGGATAGCGGGCGGAGGACGAGGCGAAGTCAGGGGGGTGATACGCGGAAGAGACTGCATGGGGAGTGGAGTGCACGGGGCGCAAGGTTAGCGGAAGGCGTAAGGGGGAGCGGAGGGGGGAGGGGCATGGTGGCCGGAGACAGAGGAGGAGAATACGCGCGAGAAGCTCGTCGGGTAGTGTGTGGATCGGCGGTAGGCGGTCGACGTCTGGCGAATCCGGAACCGCGGACTCCAGTAACGGATCTACGCTGAACGACTCCTTGCTTGGCGAATCCATGCTCAATGTTACAGAAAAAGAGCTAAGGGGTGGACGTTACGGCTACTGAGACCGTTCCTGGAGGAGATTATTGTTGAGTCGACGCAAAAATTGCTCGTCGAGATTTGTCAGAACTTAGAAGTCGACCTAAATGTCACGCGAGAGAGAGAATACGGGATTCTTCTACGACGAGAGTTTCCGCAAGACTCGAGACGAAGTGCTTTTGAGGCGCGGCGTCAAGATGCACAGGCCGCGTCACGGGTAACGATGGGTGAGTGGTGACAGTATCCTCTCGGTGACTCCAATTGACGCGCGCGGGACACAAAGAGCACAGGTCGTGTCACGGGTAAAGGCTGGTGACTGTGTCCTCTCGGTAAGAACTAGGCTGAATTTTGAGTCGAATCAGATGTCTAGACGCACGGGTCGTCTCACGGGTGACAGATTCCTGTCGGTAGAAACGAAGCTTTTGAAAAAGTCAATTTCAAGGAGAACAGGGGGCAGATTATGCTCCGTCCAAGGCGACGCGCACGACGACTCGCTGATTGCTGCGCGCTGCTTGCTTGCCCGCTTTCACAGCAAGAAAAAACTTCTGCTAGTAGCAATAGCTGCATGCGCCGCGCCGTGCCCCACTACGGCGTCGTCCCAAGCTCAGTCAAGCTCAGAAGGACGCGCCCGGCGACGATGCGCTGGCCTAGGCCATGAATTCGTGTTCCTGAATTGCGGTGACAAGTCATCCCAGCCGGATGATCCCAAGCCAGCAAGGGAGGATATGTATCCGCCTTGCTGTGCGGCTGGTCTTGAGTTTCCGCTGAAACAAGCAAACTGCTGCTGTTGGAATGGAGTTCTCGGAATTCTTCCCCACAACTTTGAGTTCCCTGAGTTCTGAGTTTTCCCAGAGTTCTGAGGTTGCACGAGAGGACTTTCAAACACGGGAAAAATCCACTCCTCTCGTGCAACCTCAGGAGAAAGGAGGGGGGGGGGGGCTTCAAGACGCCAAGGGAAAATTCGGGTGCTCCAAGCTTACTTAGACACTTTACTAACGCAGGATGGCTAGAAAATGTTAAGGGAAAAATCCACTCCTCTGGTGCAACCTAAGGAGAAAGGGGGGGGGGCAGGGGGGGGACACTCAGACGCTAAGGGGGAATTCGGGTGCTCCAAGCTGGCTTAGAAAACGCTAAGGGAAAATCCACTCCTCTTGTGCAACCCAAGGAGGAAAGAAGGGGGGGGGGGACACTTAGACAATAAGGGACTGTTCGGGTGCTCCAAGCTGACTTAGACGCTTTACAAACACAGGATTGGCTATAAAACGCTAAGGGAAAAATCCACTCCTCTCGTGCAACCTAAGGAGAAAAGGGGTGGGGTCAGGCAGAATTTGGGGGGGTGGTGGGTCCTACAACCAGGAAGCAAAACTTCGAGACAGGGGAAGGCCTGGTTTGGGCCCTTAACGCATCCGGGGAAGGGTCGAGCGCGGCACTTAGTGGCACGATGGTGGGGCTGGCTCTCTCCTGCCAGCAGGTGAACCCAGCAGGAGCAGAATGTGACTAAAGCTTACATATTGGCTGACGCATTTGTCAAAAGCGGAATGCACTAATACAGAAGCTGCACACGGCCTAACAAAGCCCAACAATACCCTAAATACTTTATCAACAAAACCAGTTGCAAAGATATAAGCAGCTAAAATCATTCAATACATTGCATGATACTGACATATGGGAACAAAGGAGACAAAAAAAAAGCACCTTTTCAGTCATTATGCAGACAGGGTTGGAGTTTTAACATTTGATACTCGCGGGATAGACTACGTACCGTAGTATTGGTTTAACGCAAGTCACATCCAGGGTGATACATGAGGAGCGGGGACGGCACTGAAGAGAGTCATCACCTACCCACCAGGCCAGATATCCACATCATAGAATACATTAAATAGCGGAGACATACATTAAAAAGCATATGAATTGAGGCCTGGAGGTTATCCCATATATTGTTATGCACTGTCTCCGCCACACCATGGCACCTTAGCAAAAATGGGAACCATCCATGCTTGTACGCAAAAACTACAACTGATCCTACAGCCTGAACTCCACCCTGGGAGGTTCATAGGTGTACGCCTCGGTATTGATGGGTGCCCCAAGACAAGACAGCTTCAGAAATGCCCCGATCAAATCAACCTGGTGGTGGGATACATGCACACAAAAAGATTGCAGGGGGAAAAAGAGCAGACAATCATAAGGGGAGGATAAGCATGCTTTCACAGGAAGAAAATTTTGCACACAGAATGGATCCAGCCAGACACTGCCCCACCAATGCTCTTGTGCTGCAGAACATCCAGACCAAGGCTTTCTGCACAGAGCCAGCCCACCATTATGATTCTGCAGGGTGTTTTCGAGATTTCTCAAAACCATCCTGCACCACCATTATGATTGTGTTCAACAGACACACCACACCTACAATTCGACCTCATCTCGGATGCTCTCAGAACCAAGCATACCAAATCTTGATACTCTCTAACAACCAAACACACCACACCCACCAGGGAACTGCACCGCGCAGTCAGTCTGAGACACAGCGACCCCCCCCTCTTCCTGATCGTAAACACCCAGCTGCGAGTCGACTAAAAAAAAAACTCCTTGCAGTCAGTCTGAGACACAGTGTCCCCTCCCTTCCAGGTTTTAAACACCCAGCCCCTATGGCAGGTGAGATTCTATCTGATCCCACCTCATTTTTCAAAAGAGTGCCAGGGACGCACCTCGTAGTCAGTGTGGGACACGGTGGTGCGGCTCTTCCTGTACTTGGCCACCCTTCCCTTGAGCTCCCCCCCTTCAGCTCCCTGCGCTGCTCCTCCCAAACCAGCATGTGTTCAACCCAACAGTCCAAGCTCAGCGCGTTCTCACCTCGTAGTCAGTCTGGGACACGGTGGTGCGGCTCTTCCGGTATTTGGCCACCCACTTGCTGATCTCCCCTCCAGCTCCCCACCTCCCACCCCCATTCCCTCAGAATCGCATACATCCATCCCATCACTAGCTCAATCTCACCTCGTAGTCAGTCCGGGACACAGTGGTGCGGCTCTTCCTGTACTTGGCACCCCTTGAAGCCCCTCTTCAGCTATTTGCTCAGATCCCCTTAACCAGCACGTGTTCAACCCAACAGTCCAAGCTCAGCGCGTTCTCACCTCGTAGTCAGTCTGGGACACGGTGGTGCGGCTCTTCCGGTACTTGGCAACCCACTTGCTCATCTCCTCATCCCCCGCCAGCTTCGCCTCCACAGCCTCCAAGTCCCGCCCCAGGAACAGCGCCAGGGTCACCACCTGGCGGGGCCTCAGCCCCAGGGCGGCGAATTTGTCCTTGATCTCTGTGGCGCTCAGCTGCTCCCAGATTGGGACCCGCCCTGCCGGGTCTGCTTGCTCCGCGTCCGCCCGGCCCAGCTGCTTGTCAAAGAAACCCCACTGGAAGGGAGGGATGGGAGAGGGGAGGAGGAGGGCGAGGAGGCGAGAGGAGGGAGAGTCAAGCAATTGGGATGTTAGGAAATGTTGGAGGGGCAGGGTGAGGAGGCAAGAGGAGGGAGATTCAAGCAATTGGGATGTTAGGAAATGTTGGAGGGGCAGGTGAGGTTGTCCACCACTAGTCGGAGCCTCGCAGCTTCAGCCCCAGGGCGGCGAATTTCTCCTTGATTGATCTAGGCGGCGCTGAGCTGCTCCCAGAGTGGCACTCGCCCCGCCTGGTCTGCTAGCTCTGCATCCCCCCGGCCCAGCTGCTTATCAAAGAAACCCCACTGGAAGAGAGGGCGAGGAGCGGGGGCAGAAGTGGGGAGAGGAGAGGGAAAAAAATCAGGGTGTAACATAGGGCTGGAAGGGCAGGGCCAGGGTCACCAGTTGCCGGGTCCTCAGCCCCAGCGCGACGAATTTGTCCTTGATTTCAGAGGTGCTGAGCTGCTCCCAGATTGGAACCCGCCCTGCCGGGCCTGCTTGCTCGGCGTCGGTTCGGCCCAGCTGCTTGACAAGAAACCCCACTGGAAAGGGAGAGCGAGGGATGGGGGAGGGAGAGGGGCAAGTGGAGGGAGAGGATGCAAGGATGACAAGGTGGAGGGCGTTTGAAGGCGGCCAAGGAGCAGCAGGAGTGTGCCCACGTGCCTCAGTCTCAGCCCAAAGTGATTTTTGAGGCGCCTCAAAAATCGCCAAGGAGCAGCAAGAGTATGCCCACGTGCCTCAGTCTTCGCCCAATGTGAGTGTGTGATTGTTGAGATTCTCAAAAATCACTCACAAGGAGCAGCAAGAGTGTGCCCAGGTGCCTCAGTCTCAGCCCAATAAGAGTGTGGCAATGCTGATCTGCCTGCCCTGCACTCAGCTGCTCCCACTCTGGTACATCCACCGAGCACAACCTGCCCCAGTGCTACCTGCCCCAGTGCTTCCTGCCCCAGTGCTACCTGTCCCAGTGCTACCTGCTCCAGCCCCAGCAGTACCTGTCCCAGCAGCAACCCCCCCGTCCCTCCCACCCCCCCCAGCAGTATCCCCCCCAGCAGTAACCCCCCCCCCCAGCAGTACCACCCCCCAGCAGTGCCACCCCCCAGCAGTGCCATCCCCCAGCAGTACCTGTCCGGGGGAGCCAATAGCGAAGTAAAGGTTGAGGCCCTTGGTGTCATCGCCCCCTGCCTTGCGCACCGCTGCTGCCAAGAACGTTGTCTTCACAGCCGATTGGGCTGCATGGAGAAGGTGGGGGTTGGGAGGGAGGAAGAGGGGGTTGTTTGAGGCACCAAGCATAGCCCCCTGCCTTGCGCACCGCTGCTGCCAGAAACATTGTCTTCGCGGCCAATTGGGCTGTGTGGGATGGAGGATGGCGCGGGCAGCAAGGAAAGGAAGGGAAGTGAAGGGGAGGGTGGGGGTTTTGTTTGGGGCGCCAAATGGGTCCTCTAGGCAGGGAAGCGGGGGGCATGAAGTGAGCTCAAGTCACCCAGCAGCAGCACGCAGTGCCTCACGGATCAACTGTGCAGCAAGCACAGCACAGCTCTCGAAGCCGCATAAAGTCAAGCTCAACCTCCGGGGGGGATGAAGTGCGAGCTCAAGCCACCCAGCAGCACGCAGTGCCTCACGGATCAACTGTGGAGCAAGCACAGCACAGCTCTCAATCCCGCACGAAGTCAAGCTCAGCTCCCAACTGAATCAGGTCGCCGTAGGGCAGGGGAACGCCCTTGGCGTCTGCGTCCACACGTGCCTTCACACCCTCCAGAACACACCAAAGCTCTATGCCTCTCCACCTCCACACCAGCTTAAGCTCACCTCCCAGGCAGATCAAGCTTACCTCCAAACTGAATCAGGTCGGCGTAGGAGATAGGCCCGCCCTTGGCGTCTTTGTCCACACGCGCCTTCACCCCCTCTAGCAGCTGCAGAGCCGCCTTGAGGCCCTTGTTCTCCGGGCGCGAGAGCTCCTCGCTGGGGGGAGAAGAGAGCGCGGCAGGGCAGGGGAGTGGGGGAATGCAATTGAAGGAGAGGAGTACTAGGTCCCTTCCAGCAGCTGCAGGGCCGCCTTGAGGCCCTTGTTCTCTGGGCGAGAGAGCTCCTCGCTTGAGGGAAGGAGAAAAGAAGGGTCCGGAGGGCAGAGGGGTGGAGGAGGTGTGTATTAAATGCGAGTGAGTGGAAGAAAGCGGAGAGAATGAGATTGACTGGTACTCGTTGACCAGGAGTAATAGGCCATGGGATGGCATGCTATGGCATATGGTATGGCATGGCGTGGCATGATATGGCATGGTATGGCCTGAAATGTCGTGGCATGATGGCATTGTATGGCATAGAATGTCGTGGCATGATATGACATGGTATGGCATGGCATATGGTGGTACCTGAATCGGATGGACCCGTTCGCTCCTCCTGTCTTGGTCTCCTGTTGCGTTTAGGTGGGGAAGAGAAATGAATGAAAGGACGATGAGGAGGGAGCCAAAGAGAGGAAAGAAGAGGAAAAGGGAGCCAACGAGAGGAAAGAAGAGGAAGAGGGAGCCAATGAGAGGAAAGAAGAGGAAGAGAAGCCAAGCAGTGTAATGCATCCAGAGACAGGAGGAGGCACAGCCACAGCCACAGGCAAGAGACGTGCCTGCCCGTGTATCCGTGCGTAATGCATTCAAGAGAAGTGCGCTTGAGCAGTATCATAGCACCAGGACGTGAGAAGTACAGCTGGCACGGACCTTGTCATATGTGGCCGCATCGTTGAGGGCCAATCGCAGGATGTCAGGCACAAGCTCCTTATTGGCCTACCACGTGGAAGAGGGTCGAGGGGGAGAAGAGGGGGAGGGGGGAAGAGGGCGGGAAAGGAGGAAAAATGCACAGAAATGAGGGAGGATGACAGCGCGCTTGTTTGCTTGTTTGTTTGTTGTTTTTTTTTCTCAAAATATATATCGTTTGGGAAAACGCGTCGGAAAGGAGGTGAGGAATGGTTGCCATACAATTGTGTACAGTGAGCACATGTTGGGCACGATAGAAGGGGTAGAGAACGTGGCTTACACTGATGGTGTTGAAGAGATCTTCCTTGAGGCCCTCTGATAGTGTCACGTTCGTTACATCCATGGGGGCGATGGAAAGGAATGGAATAAAGGAGTTGAGTTGTCAATAAGGCAGTCGATCATAGCAGCTCCGCAAGTTGCCAGTGCAATGCATTCACTCAATTATGAAAAAACGTAACTTTCCTTGTTGCTTTTTTCTGTTTTGTGCAGCGTTAGGTCATTCACAGCGGTTCTTCCGTGCAACTGGTTCGTCTGCTGGTCACGCCCTCTCAAAGCCTTGCTCGTTTCTTGAGAATTCTCAGCAATTACGAGAGCTGGTGTATTGCTGTTTTCAAGCTCTGTCAATAGCTGATGCGAGGAATGAGGCAGCCCTCTGGTGGGCCGCCGTCTGGTTGCGCTGTGGCAGATGCGACGCGAAGCACACAGCAGCAGTCCGTGCATATCAGACCGTGCGGCCTACAGCACTGGTTCGCTGGCCCCACCCAATCACGCCACCGTCGCTCAACTAGGCTGGTCGCTGGTCGTTGGTCGCTGGACTTTGGTCGCTGGTTGCGCCATGGCCAGTGTAAGGCTCGCTGGATGCAAGGCTCACAGCAACACTCCGTGCGGCCTACTGCATCAAGTACGCTGCGGCACTCACTCGCTCAGGTACGCTGCTCGCTGGTTGCACTGTGGCAAGCAAGGCTCACAGCAGCAGTTCGTGCGAACCAGTCGGCCCGTGCGGCCTACAACGTCGATTCGCTGCACTCACTCAGGTACGTTAGCCGCTGGCCGCGCCGACCAGGCTCAGTGGCTGTGCGGCTCACAGCAACAGTCAGTGCGGCCTAGAGCATCAATTCGCGGCACTCACTCAGGTACGCCTCTCGCTGGCCGCGCTGCACGATGTTGGCTGCAAGGGCGGTGACTTGTGAGTCGACTCAAAGGTCAGTCCGTGCGGCCTACAGCACTCACTCAGGTACGCAGCTCACACGCAGTGTGACCCACAGCATCAATTCGCTGCACTCACTCAAGTAGGCTGCCCGCTGGCCGCGCTGCACGATGTTGGCTGCAAGCGCGGGGTCGGACGACGTCAGCAAAGGCACCCACAGAGGGCTCTGGAAAGGACGGGGAGAGGAGGGAGGGTAGCGAGAGGAGAGGGGGGGGGGAACGGAGACCGGGCCATCGTTAGAAGCCCTTTTCCTACGTCACGGAGCGGGGGTGAAGGTAAGACGGGAAGCGGATAACGTCGATGAGAGGGAAAAGATGGAAGGAGGACGATAGACAAGAGAGTCTTGCGGAGAGTAGCAGTGGAAGCAAGAGTAGAGGCGGAAATAAGAGCAGAGGGTGGGAAAGCGGCAAGAGGGGAGGGGAGGGGATGATGCATGATTGCTACACACATCAAGCATTTTTCAGAGCATAGGTCACAAGGCGGGGAGTATAGATGACAATGCGGCGTGCGGCGAGCATGTACTCACCGAGGCAGCGGTGAGAGCAGTGATCATCGCTTGGCGACGGGGGATGACGAGAGCAGAGGAGGAGTCGGAGGAGGACGACGCGTCGGAGGACGCCCGGCAGCGAACTGCTGCACGCTGCGAGAGGTGGAGCGACGGAGAGGGATGCAAAGGGATATAGCGGGATATTGCGAGGTACACAGGGATACAGACGGCTACGGCGGGAACAAGCCAGGGAACACAAGAAGAGCGGTACGGAAGGAGAGAGTTGCGAGAGTTAAGTGACAGGGCGGGAGAAGAGAGTAGCTCCTTTAACACTTCGTATGGCCACTTTCGCGCAACGTGCTTCACGTCAAATGAAGCTTATGGGGTTCATCGATAGCAAAATATCGTATGGCCACTCTCGCGGTTCGAAGTATAGTTAAATTGGAAATGATTCTTGCGGAGCTCTTTATCAAGCGGTACCTGGAAGGACTTCACCGCTGCAGTCTTGGCAGTGCCTGTGTGCAGATGGTATGGTGTGGCATGGGATGGCACGGGAAGGGACGGATACAAACGCATGGGATAAGAATGGCATGGAATTGACGAATACTGACGTGCAGACCCATGGTGTGACAGGTCAAGAACGTACGATAACGAAAAAAATAAAGATTGCCTGAGAGAATTCAAGTGCGAGCAGAGAAGAGATGACTCCGCAGTGTGTGAACTATCAACCAGCTCATCCGTCCGCTCTGACTGGTGTTCTTGCAGCGGATTAACAACCTCCATCATCCTCACGCACGCTTCTTCACACTTTGAACAACCCACCCCATCCCCGTTATGAGCTTACCAGCAAGGGTCTTGCCCTGCACGAAGGAAGAAGACTCCGCGGAAGAGAGAAGCGGAGCCTGATGAGGGGGGGGGGAAGCGGGCGAATGGGGGAAGAGGAGGGGGATTAGATGGCGAATGCAAATACGACCGGGCGGGAGAGGGGGGGGGGGGGGCTGGGGGAAGGGGGTTGGGGGGGGGGGGTGGGGGAGATGAAGTGAGGAAAATGAGGAGGGACCCTGGCCTCTCCATTGAACGGGAAATCGAGAAAAGAAGTTAGACGAGTCGGCAGATAAGATTCGCGAATACAGAAAACGGAAATTCAAGGAGCGGAGGAAGACAGACCGTGGCAACAGACGACATGGCGAGGGAAGCCATTGTGACTGCCGACTGGAGCAAGTGAAGCAGGAGAAGCGAGAGGGAACGGCAGGAGATTTAGCCTAGAATCCTCAAATACTAATACTGGAATTCAAAATTAGTACGCGGAGAGGAGGGTATGGGTGGGTGTCGTTGGAATCTGGAATCTGAAAGCAGGTTCCCTGAATCTGCACAATTGTGCAATTCATGAGAATTCATGGTGCTGGAGCTGAGTCAGCGGCCAGAGATTTGGGGGAGTTGATGGAATTTGACTGGGCGTGGGGATCGAGGAGGCCAGTAAGATTGGACTAGGCGAGGTTGGGACTGCCACACCAGCAGCCCGAGAATCTTGAAGGTGTCCACGTGCTGAGAAAGGACAGCGCCAACGAGGCGAATACTTGACACCCAACGAACACATTATTCGAAACTCCAGTAAACGCCTGAAGCAGTCTCAGTGTTATGCATACTCATTGTATAATGAGATGCTTGTTGCTTTGCTCACAAAATAAGCACAAGCATCCTTCTTCCTTGAAACGTCTCATTACGAGCCGTTTAATTGTAATGGGATATATTAGAATCATTCAGAGCTTGTAATGGTGATAAAGTAGAATGGTAGCTTCAGAGCTTGATGTGGACCAGGAATTTGTACTACTTTGCTTATAATCAAGTTACATAATTGTAACATCTTATTTAGACAAAGAACATGCTGCTGTTACGGGTGCAATGAATCGAGGTAGCGAGAATTGCACTAAGGTGTCAAAACGAGTACCAAGATGTGAGCGAAGGTGTCGAGAGTAATACGAATAGGTAAGTTGAGAGGTAGAAAGGTGGGGCCTAGGCTTAGTAGCCTAGGCCCGAGCTTTAGGTGTCGAGCGGTTTTGGGCCTAGGTAGGAGTTCGAGTGAGTTGAGAAAAGTTGGAGAAATGTGTGGCTTCACTATAGTTTGGAAGTACATATAGCAAAGGAAACACATAAGGTGCACCACCAATACAAAGTTTAAATAACTACACTAACTACAGCTACAGGCAGTTACAAATATAAGTTGACAGAAGGCATGAGCGAACATTTATATGCGAAACATGCAAACGGTAACGCGGTGCGTCCGAGTTAGCTAGTGCTATGCTGGCAGCGAGGCTCGGGCTAGTCCCGAAGCGTAGGCCGACACGGCCGGGCCAGCAGTGCGAGGTTTGGCAAAACAGTGCGCGCGAAGTTGGCGAAGTCCCGTTAGCAGTAACGGGCGAACAACGATTGTTGCCGTACGCGATGTAGTCGGGCTCCGTAAGGAATGCTGAGAAAATTTCTTACACTACCCCCCCCCCCTCAAGAAGCCCCCTCCGCTACGCGAGTGCGTGTATATCGCGGAATCCCCGGCTCCTCAGCTACACTTGCAGAGCAGGGTGGTTTTCAATGTTGGCCAGGGGCACCCAGCTATCTTCAGTTGGCGTGCGGTCCTTCCAGCGAACGAGGAATTCAATCCTTCTGATTCCCGTGGGGTGTCGAATCCGATGGCTCAGGATTTTTTCGGGCTCGATGATCGGCTCCGATGCAGGGCGAGTCATGGATGGCCGGGGTGGCGAGGCAGTTGGCTTGTGGTTGGGATGTATGGGCGAAGCAAGCTGATGTGGAACGAAGGGTTGATATACCAGTCGGTCGGTAAACGTAGGTGCGCGGTTACTGGCGTGATCAGGTGGCTGATTTGGAATGGGCCACAGTAGCGCAGTCGAAGTTTCGGTACATCGGGCAGTCGCAAATTTTGTGTGTCGAGCAGTACGTAATCCCATGACTGGTATGTGACGGGGCGGCGGTGGCGGTCAGCGTTGCGCTTAGCGATGACGTTTGCTTTTTTAATTGCTTCCGCGGCTCTGGTGCAAGCAGCTTGCAGAATTTCGGCGAATTGTTGCGCACGTGGTGTCGGGTTGTCCGGACTCGGCGTCATGGGCACTGTAGGGTTTCGCCCGTAGTTCAGGCAGAAGGGTGAATATTGCGTCGTCGCTGACGCGACATTATTGTACGCAAACTCGATCAGCAGCAGCTGCTGTTCCCAAGTCGTGGGGTCGTCGCACGTGGCACGAATCAACTGCTCCATCGTCTAATTCGTCCGCTCCGTTTGGCCGTTGGTCTCGGGGTGGTACGACGAACTGAACTGTAGCCTGGTCCCGAACTGCTCCCAGAGGTTTTTCCAGAAGTTGCTGGTAAATTTCATGTCCCTGTCGCTGATAATCGCTGCTGGTATCCCGTGCAGGCGAACAACGGCTGCGATGAACAGGCGAGCGGTCTCCTCAGCTGAGATTGACTTTTTGCACGCAACGAAGTGTGCCATCTTCGTCAGCCTGTCAACGACGACCATCACGGCGTCGTTACCTCCGGGGTTCGAAGGTAACCCTGTGACGAAGTCCATCGTAACCTGCTGCTAGGCGCGTTCGGGCGGTGGTATCGGCTGCAATTGACCCGCCTTCCGCTTCCTTGAGCTCTTCATCACCTGACACGTGGGGCACGAGCCCACGTGTTGCTGTACGCCGGTTAACAGCTCCGGCCAGTAGTAGTACCGCTGTAGTTGCTGTCACGTTTTTTCTACCCCAAAATGTCCCGAGGTAATTCCGTCATGTGCCTCCTGCATTAGCAGCTCCCTCAGTAGTGCGTACGCGGGTACCCAGATGCGGTTGGTGCCTGTTTTTTTGTAATAAACTCCTTTAGATTCTGCCAGTTGCTCTGAGTTTCCAGTCGTGAAAAATGGGTCGGTGCGGTATCCGTGGGTGAATAGGCCTGTTAAAAGTGGGTTGGTTTGGGCGAGTAGGATGGCGTGGAGTTGGGCGGTGGGGCGGGTGAGTGCGTCGGCGATGTTGGAGGCGCCTTTTTTGTACGTAACCGTGTAGTGGAAGCTGGACTCGAGGTAGTCCAACCAGCGAATCTGTCGCGGATTGAGATTTGGTTGGGCGCGTAGGTACTGTAGTGATTGGTGGTCTTTCCGTACTGTCACGTCGCCGCCAGTCAGGTAACACCGCCAGACTTTGAACGCGTGCACGATCGCCAACATTTCGCGGTCGTGTATCGGGTAGTTGCGTTCGGGCAGTGTGAAAGAACGAGGAATGGTTGCATTGAGCAGCATGAGGAGTACAAGTAGGAAACCCTAAAGTGTTGTACCCCATATGAGCTACCCCACTACAGCCTACACAGACTATAGCACATAAGTTTGACACACCCCCATAGGCAACGTGGGGGAGAACAAGGGGTCACAAGACCAGTCAAGAGAAGCAGGGCAAGCTCACGGTGGATCACAACGTCACCACACAATCTGAGCACAAGCACAAGGCCACAAGGCCAGTTCACATGCAGAGTTATAGATCAAGATGTACAAACAAGGCAGTGATCTCAACCTAGCAAGGGTAAGCATGCAAGTGCAGGTATATATAGATCACGGTACAAGCAAAGTCGAGAAGTGAGCAAGTGAGGCCAAGTAGGCACAAGACCTAGCATAGTACAAAAGCGCTGATGATCACAAGGCGGAAGTGCCTTGGTAAAGATATCAGCAGTGTTGGCCTCAGAGGCCACGTACGCAAGGCGCAGCTGACCGCGCTGCTGCAGCTCATGAGCAAGGAAGTAACGAAGAGCATTGTGCTTCGTTCTGTGCTCCAGACTGTGCTCCCGACACAAGGCCTGCATGGCCTTGTTGTCTACGTACACAACTGGAGGAGAACGAGGCGGCTCTCCTAGGTCAGACAGCAGGTAGGTGAGCCAGCGTAGCTCCTGTGCAGCCATGGCCCCCTCGTAGATCTCAGCCTCACAGCTGGAGCCGAGAACAGAAGACGAGCGGGTAGACCGCCACGAAACAGAGCCGGAGCCAAGACTGAAGGTGTAACCCTGTGACGACCGCTGCGTAGCCTGGTCGTCAGCCCAAGAAGCGTCTGCGTGACCTGTGAGGACCACTGGACGTCGCCCTCCAAGCACTAGCCCCATGCCCGACGTACTGCACAAGTAGCGCAACACCCTCTTCGCTGCAGCCATGTGCTCTGGTCGGTGTCTCCCAAGAGCAACATAGCGTGCCAAGATGCTAAGAGGGTATGCTAGGTCAGGTCGTGTGCAGGTCATCAGGTACATGAGGCAGCCAACAAGCTCTGGGTACGGGCCACTCAGCTCTACGGACTCATCCGAAGGCAGATCTGAGAGCGAGTGGCGAGTAGACAGAGGAGTGGCCTGAGGCAAGGAGTACGTGAAGTCGAAGCGCTGAAGGACCTGCTGCACCATGTGTGACTGAGTCAGGGTAATGGTGCGCTGTGCTCTGTCCTGGGTGATCTGCAAGCCAAGGTAGCTGCGCAGTTCACCCAGGTCTGTGCATGTGTGTCTCTTCTGCAGCTCGGACTTCACGTGGGCGAGTACAGCAGTGTCACCAGTGGCAAAGACCAAGTCGTCGACGTACACGAGGATGTAGAACGGCGGAAAAGAGGTGTCGGTGCGCAGAAACAGCGACGGGTCGGCAGTAAAAGGAGCAAACCCAAGAGCCGCAAGTGTAGTCCTCAGTGTCTCATGCCACTCACGGGGCGCCTGGCGGAGACCGTAGATTGGCCGCCGGAGGCTCCACTGGGTACCACGAGGAAACGACCTAGTGGAGCCAGGTGGGCGGCGCAGCCAGATCTCCTCGTGCAGGCTGCCCTGCAAGAAAGCTGTGCTGAAGTCAAGAGAGTGAAGCTCGTAGTCGCGCTGAGTGGCTATGTGCAGCAGCACCCGAAGAGTGGTCATCTTCGGGGTGGGAGAGAAGGTCTGAAAGTAGTCAACTCCCTGCCGCTGACTGAAGCCTCGAGCCACATAACGCGCCTTGAAGACTGGCGGAGAACCCGGCGGCCGCTTCACCCTGAAAATCCACATGCCACTGACGATGTTCGCCCCAGGTGGGGGAACCTCGTTGATGTAGGTGCCTGTGGACATCCAGGAAGCCATCTCTGCGTCCATGGCTGACTGCCACTGAGAGGAGTAAGGACCCTTGATCACCTCAGCGTACGATCGAGGAGTCG